CATATACATACATATATGTATAGACACACACACACACAGGAGGGGGCCTCTAAACTGATCTGGTTTTGCCAGCGATTGTCAGTCTTCAGATATTAGGTTTTTATTTTTTACTGAAATTAATTCAGAACAATGAAACACTGAAAAATTAAAGTAAAAAAACAACAACATATGGCTAAAATTCAATGCATGGAACATTATGCATCTTCTTCGAATACTTACACGTGTGGATATGCGAAAGAAGTCTCCCTTTACAAACAAGTATTTTTTTTCTTTTAGTTACGACAAACAAGAACACTAACTGAATATTATTCTGTTCTCACCATTAAATTAAGTTAAATCTCACCATTTCATTAAAGATATAGAAGTGAAGAGAAAGATTTCCTGAAGGTGCAAGAACTGTTCTGCCAGAGTTCACGCCGTTGGTGGGAGAATTGGAAAAGGGCAGAACCACATACATACCCATTGGCCCGACCCCGGAAAGGCAGAGATAGCGCGAACAATAGGCACAGCAGAGCCGATCGGGCAAATCATAGGCTCCTATTATCCCCGACTGGGCAGACATGACCAAGGTCTATATAAGTACTTATATAGACCTTGGACATGGCGGCGGTGGATACGCAGAAGAGGTTTTTTGGCGGGCGCAAGAACATGCAAGCGTTAGGGCGTTGGCGTCAATTCGGACGACGATATCCGGTGAACTCTTTCTCCGGTACAAAGAGTACGGAATTGTCATCTTCACCTGTACATGCTCATTATCATGATACTTTTGTAAAATGCTGTAATGGGGCAATGTATGAATGCGTATATATATTATGCATCAGCTGAAACCCAGCAAATGATCCTGTGACGAGCAACCGCAGCAAATGTAGGATGATAAAGACAAAACATTTAAGAAGGATGCAGAATGGAGAGGAAAGGGGGGTGGGAATGAGGAGATTGGTGTACTACAGATGGGAAGAAAGAGGAGTGGAGAAGGGGAAAAGGGGAAGAAGATAATGAGAATGAAAAGGAGATGAGAGGGGATGATCAGGAATAAGAGAATAGAAGTGGAAGAGAAGGAGGATGCTGAAGAGAAGAATGAAGGGAAGGAGGAAAATAGGAGGAGAGTGAGGAAAAAATATGAAAGAGGATGAGGATGAGGAGGAAGAAGAAGAAGAAGAGGGGAAAGAGGAGGGGGAGAATGAGAAAAGGGAGGGGAAGGAAAAGGAAGAGGAGGGTGATGAGGGTAAGAAGGAAATGGAAGAGGAGGGTGATGAGGGTAAAGATAAATAGGAAAAAGAGGAAGAAGAAGAAATGATGAGAAAAGGGAGGAGGAGGAGGAAGAGGAGGAGGAGGAGGAGGAGGAAGGAGGAGAGGAGGAGGAGGAGGAGGAGAAGAAGAAGAAGAAGAAGAAGAAGAAGAAGAAGAAGAAGAAGAAGAAGAAGAAGAAGAAGAAGAAGAAGAAGAAGGAGGAGGAGGAGGAGGAGGAGGAGAGGAGGAGAGGAGGAGAGGAGGGAGGAGGGAGGAGGTGGAGGAGAAGGAGGGGAGAGGAGAAGGAGGAAAAGGAAGTGGAATAAGAGAAGCAAAAAGAAGGAGGAAGAGGAGGAAGATTAAGAGGAGAAGGGACAAGAAGGGATGAAGAGGAGGAGGAAGAAAAAGGAGGAAGAGGAGGCAAGGGAGGAGGAGAAAGAGAAAGATGAGGATGAAGAGGAGTAAGAGGAGGAGGAGGAGGAATAATTTATTTTGTGTATGTCTTGTTTTTTGCTCTCTGATGGGGAACTCTTGGCAAGATTGATATTTGTATTATTGCATATACAGTGTTTTAGCAGTGCTTTGTTTTAAACATACATAACTTGCAATGTTTATTTCTGTACAATACAATAGAATGATACAACAGAATACAGGTCATCATGGAAACATACAGATTAAAGTGATTCTTAGTGAAGTGCTACATTAATGATGTGTTTATGTCAGTCTTCACCCTTAGGTATACTTCCTTTAAAACAGCACTGAAACCCTAAAGGGCTTTGCTGGAGTTTGACAGATCTTGCAATGTAGTTCAGAATCCCATTGAAAGATGGCCTACGACCCTAATTAAATTCACACTCATTGCTACATCAACAGTATGCAGGATCTCAAAGCAAAATTTACTTTGGTGATACTAACAATATAATCTGCCTTTATATTTGTAAATACATTAGGTGCGACTTCTGATGTATTATGATTGGTTGCAGGCAAACGTTACTCTTACAGCAGGCCTAATGGTGTTGAGGTAGTGGTATCATTGTTTAAATAATTGCAGCCAATAGGAGTAATACTGTCATGTGGTATTCTTTTTTCTGAAATCGGTACTTCTGTAAGGTATGAAAATAGCACATTTTGTAATTGTACAAGATAACATACATAACAGTATGAAATAAAACAAAGGAAAATCCATGGGAGTGAAATACAATATACTTTCACAAAGTACTTACTTGGATTTCCTAGTTAGCTTTTTATGATAACCTAATTGTGTATATATTCGCAATAAGTTTTTGCAATGACAATATCAAACAGCAAAGTGCATTTTAACACATATATTATTGGTATGCCTCTTTTATAATGAAAATGAGTGTGCATATCATTTTGTGGCATTATCATTTATTTATTTTTTTCATTGCATAACAATACCACAGATATGGCATTCCCACTATTTTACATCCTGTCACAAGGACAAACTAGGAAAGGCACTATACTATGCTCTACTGGCAAAACTCTGATGCATGAAAATTGTCTTGCAATCTTTAATCTAGAAATCCCAATGTAGAAATATAACTTCACAACTGCCAGCAGTACCTCTTGCAAGACTGGCTAAAGATTATAATGTCAGTATCATTATTGGCATTGAAAAAGTACCATCAGTTTTGCATACCTGTAAGGATGGTACTGGATATTGTAGTTGCCCTAGCAGTGATATTAACTTGAATTTTTTGTTTGACAAAACTAATTAATATGTTGCCTTCTTGACTAAATTACATTTGACCATAATGCTTTCTCACACTTTGCCTTTGCTTTATACTTAATCGAAAGAGGATTTTTTCAATAAATATGTACATGCCACATCCATTGTGATTTTAGTTTAATAATTTTGTGTATGTATAGATGGCTCTACAAGTGCTTAGCTCCCAAGGAGTCAGTTACTAGTCCTACCTATCTTAGTTGTTTACCCTTTTCCTTGATTGAAAGAGAGAACCATTAGTAGTGTTTATAACATCATATTATTCATAATATCGATGATAGTAACAGTATAGATATTGATAGCATTAAAAAGAAACCTGAAAACTCAAGGAAATGGTAAAATTAAGGGAGGTCATGCAGACTCTTTGGTGGCTGAGCATTTGTGGGGCCATCTATGTGAACAAAATTCACGACAAAACTAGTGGACATTATGTGCTCCTGTTGGCAGTAAGTTAAAATAAAAGATATATGCCTTGATGGGATCTAGGATGCCACAGGCACAAAACTGTTAAATTCACAATCAATGAAATTTATTTTTATCATGTTTAATGGCAAATTTTTAGGTTACTTCAGGTACAAGACTATTCAAAGTTTAAACCTAAATATTAGAATTGAGAGACTGGCTCTTACATATCAGGAAACAATGCTATACTGTGATTAAATTAAGATGCCAGAAAATGAGTTTAAGGCAATTAATTCACAGGCCGATTTAAGTATAAATTGAATAAAGATGTATTTTGTAAAAATCTGATTTTTCCAATCCTGCAATACACTCATAAAAAATGTTCAGCATTTTACAACTGTATCCAATTGGAGTATACTGTATGAGATAACTAAACACAGGATGTCAACCCTGCTGAGCTCATGATTGACTGGAGGATATGGCCTAGCACACTTATAGCACTAGCTTATAGATGACAAATAATTTACTAGTTTTGAGCCTGATACTTTTATGAAAATTCATCCAGTTTTTAAAATCTTTATATCTTTATTTCATGATTCATTGCTGAACTCCAGGTGATGGTCTATTAACCCAGATGGGGAATCATTGAGATTGATGTAATATTAGCATAGGTTAAGTTAGATAAGGTTGAGTGTAGGTTAGGTTAGGTTAACCACATGCTGATGGGGAGGGCATGTGCGTATATGCCATGCCCACTGTGTGCTTAATTTTGTAATCATTTTTATATATAGATGCTTCCATAAGTACTGTCACCAATGAGCCAATTACAAGACCTACCTGTCTCACCTGTTTACCCTTTTCCTTGATTTTTGCTATATTTTCTAGTATTTAATACTGCTGTTTGTAATGTCAGTAACAATATAGTAATTGTAATGTTTATTTAAAAAATAACATTATCAATAGTAAAAAAAACATTTTACCGCTATTTCAAGGAAAGGTGTTACAAAATCTACTCAATGACTCCTTTGTGGCTAAGGACTGGCAGAGCTATTTATGTGCAGAAACATTTAACAAAACAACGCTAAAGTGAATGCAACATTTTCCCAGCAGCATCGGGTTAAGATTCCAATTGAGTCTGATGTTTGTACAACATGAAGCGAAGAATGAACAGAATCAAATGATGTATACCTATGAATCCCATTTCTTCACAAAGAAACATTGACATTTTGACACAATAGTTGCAGTTCTAAACAATTAATCATGAATTGCTAGGTGACTATAGTTCATGGTCTTAGAGAAACTTATTTGGGTGAACTAACTGGGTTTTTATTTACCTTATATCTAAATCTTTTGTACACCTTGATGTGAGGAAGTTGACTCAGGTTCTTCTGGAAGGACTATAGATGTTATAGCAATAATCTATAAATATAATGCTTCTTTACAGTAAAAGATCTTCCCAGACTAATATTTCACACTTTCATTCAACTTTCCTTTGACATTTAGAATGTCTTAATGGTTACATAAGATTAAAAAGGGGGAAAGAGCAATATCTATAAAACAGAACTTATTTCTATATACAGAGTATCTGGTAATCCATGCCAAAGGTAAAGGAAAGAGTAAAAAAGATGCATACAATTTATTATGCAAACCATGGAAGACCTATGAATGATATGAAAAAATGATGTAACAATAATAGAATTTTATCTACCACATTTCCAATACTGGGGATGCCACCAAGGGTATACACGTACATCGCGCACAGGCTCTAGCATGACCTGAAAAAAATATATCCTCATATGAGACCTTCAGTGTTTAAGACAAAACTGGAAATTGTTTTTTATTATCCCTTTGGACTGGTTCTCAAACTTCTTGGCATTGTTATCCACAGCAGTATTGTGATATATCACCATTACACTATTCCTCTTCAAGTAAGTTAAAAGAAAAATATTGGATAGCTTAATTCTCAAAGAATTTTATATGTATGAAATTGGTTTCACTCACTTAATGAATAAAGAATTTAGACACTGTTCCTCTGATAAAAAAAAGAAAGAGAAAAGAAAAGAAAAGAAAAGAAAAAATCTTATTGCAAAACTGTAGATATACTTGGACCAGAAGAAAAGATGTATTAACTGAAAAGCTTTATTCTTAGGACGTAAGTGATTATGGGCTGATAATACACTGCATACGCATGCATGCATGTACACACACACACACACACACACACACACACACACACACACACACACACACACACACACACACACACACACACCACGCACAACACACACACACACACACACACACACACACACACACACACCACACACACACACACACACACACACACTGGGCTGGTTTAAGCCGATTTGACCTATTTGATCAAATGGCCCTGCACCTGAAGGGGCCTTTTTTATCATATAGTAAAACATTAAAACTTTCATATTCCCTTTCCAAAAATTATTATACTAAGCATTTAATGTTAATTTGTTTTTTGGGCCCCACCATCAGTTTTCTTCTTTGACCCTGCAATTCCTAGCACTGTCCTGAGAGAAGGAAGGGGGAGGGGGGGGGGGGGAGAGAGGAGTGAGAGAGTGAGAGAGTGAGAGAGAGTGAGAGTGAGAGAGAGAGTGAGAGGAGAGTGAGAGAGAGAGAGAGAGAGAGAGAGAGAGAGAGAGAGAGAGAGAGAGAGAGAGAGAGAGAGAGAGAGAGAGAGAGAGAGAGAGAGAGAGAGAGAGAGAGAGAGAGAGAGAGAGAGAGAGAGAGAGAGAGAGAGAGAATGGAAAAATAAAAGAACGCCCTACCCTTAAAAAGTCTAAAGTACAAATTAAAACAAATAACCATATGGCCCCAAGACACACCTCTTTGTAGGGAACCTGATACTTCCGTGACTTGGCTGATGCTGTGCTGGGGAGGAGGTGTGCTGGTGCAAGTGAAAGGTGTAAACGGTGGGAGCGCAGGTCAGCTGACACCCCAAGACCAGCATGGTGGAGGTATTCACCCATCACCATGGGGACGGCACATATGCAGCTTGCGACAGCCTGAAATGCATCTTGGGTGAGGATTTCTATTGGTCTAATAGGATGGCTCAGCTTGGGGTTTTGGTTTATGGCAAAAAAGAAAGAAAGAAAGAAAAAAAGGAATAAGAAAAGGAAGGAAAAGAAAGAAAATTAGCATACTATTTTTCCCATGCTTATTATCCATTCTTCAATCAATTTAATGTCTGCTATGTGTACTAATACATCTATGAGAAATATTATGAAAAACATAATGCAAACTCTCATTTACTCACTCTCTCTCTGATTGGTTTGAGGAGGCATGTGGGGTACAAAGGGCCTGATAATGGAGATGTTTGTTGGTCTATCATGAGAATATTCACTTACTATTTACTATGTTAATTCACTTGTGAGTGAGTTGGCGAGTTGGGTACAACGGCATAGACTCCAGTGACTGCCCTAAGGTGTTTCATCATGATAAACAGTGAGGAGAATGTCCACAAAGTTTGCTGTAACTAGTTCTAATTGATTAGCAGCATCCAGCATTCTGATGGACCTAGCAGTGAAATGTTTGATACAGCTCAAGATTCCACTGGTGTAGACTATTAAAAATACTGTATGCAAAACTATGTGATTTCCCAAACTGCAGTTAGATTAGAATCTGATTAATTTATCCGCTTAAGTACCATATAATGCTCCATTTTTTAGACTTCTCTAGACCTGACTAATATTCCAGACCAGCTTTTCATACAATTACTGGAATTTATACAATTTTACAATCATGTTGGACCTGACCTTTGTATATCATTATTTTATTACTGAAATGGCAATGACATCATAGTCATAGAATATGAAAATTACGAAAGAAATACCAGATAAGGTAACCATTTGACTAGTTCTGGCTGCCCTCTGCCTCAACCAATCAGCCTTTGGTCAGTCCTTTTAAAGAGGAATACTAGATGAAACTGTCATATCTAACACAGAGGTTCTACTGTCCCAGTGAAAACCAGTGGACTTGTATGATGACTTCATTATGTAATACATTGTGTTGTTGTCAACAAATATCTGTTTTGTTAGAATCACTCTAATTTTGAAGGAATAGAGATATAAGAAAAAATAAAACTAGGTCTGTCCATGAGTTTCAGTCATCACATTGAGCAGAAAATCAACAGAGACGTTACAAATGGATGGACGATGAGGATATTTCAGACGAGATCCAGAACATCTACTTCCACTAGGGAAAACACAGGTGATTCCAAGATTGGAATATCAGTGACAATTATGGAATCCAAGTCTTACAAATGACATAACATCACTCCAACAGGTTCAAAGATTTTTTTTGAAAAAAAGGCAGGTCTCCGTTATTAAGAAAATCTGTAACAACTCAAGGTTTCATCTTTACAAAATACAAAGAGAAATGGAAGATCATTGAAAACTTGTCAACAAATCCAAGAACATCAAAGTATAAGAGTTGCTAACATTTTGGTCAATGGTTAATGGTTACAAATCAAAATAAATGTGCTAGACATCAAAGGTCATTTAGCACTAAAAAGCTATATTACAGAAAGGGGCAGAGCTTAATGATTAAATGTGCCACATATTCAAAGTATTACAGCAGTTTAGGATAGTATGGTACTGAAAATGGTGAATAGAGATGAGGGTAGAGAGGGTGATTAAATGGGTTTAGGTATGTATTACCAAAAAGGGGAAAATTGGTGGGAGGGTTAAGGGTGATTAAATCAAGTGGAGGCTATGCATGTCTCTCAGAAAGGAAAATGAGTTGTCAAAGGAAAAAATGTGGGATTCTGCAGGGATGTCCATGGGGTAAGATAGGAATTAGCAAGAGGGGAGAGGGTGATTAGATCAGAGCTATCATAAATGGGTGTCTGAAAAGGAGGAGGGAAGAACCCGGGGAATGAGACTAGGGATCAGGAGGAATCAGGTGCAGTATCAGGAGGAATGTCAGCAGGGGGAGGATCCAGGGAATGGCACTGTTATGACAAAAGGAGTCACATGTGTATTCGATAGTGAGTGGAAGGGATAACGGAGAAAGAAGAGGGGTGGGGGACAGGGTGTGTTGGGAGGGAGTCTGAGGAGGGGGTCTAGAGGAAACACGAGTAGGAGTATGGATGTCAGCAGTCACTTTGAGTATAGAGAGAATAGGAGCAGAGAGATTGGAGGGTGAATAAGGGAAAGGCATGTCTTTTTGGATCATGATTAGAAAATTGTGAATGTACTCAAGAGTTTCTAGAAGGGATTTGGTTGGTGATATTTGAGAAATGAAAGTCTTATGCGGGGAAGAAGAGGATTTGGACATCTAAGAAGCATAAAAAGAGGTAGGTGTAGGAAAAGATATGGTAGGAGAAGATGAGGTGGAATAATTAGATTGTCTGATATGGTGGGCAGAGTGGGGAGGAGGAGGGGTAAGCATATGGGAGGTGGTATAGATTGGTGTAAGGATTTATAATGGCAGAAGAATTATCTAGGAGAGGGAGGGGGGGTAAAGTAGGCATGTAAGTATGGGAAAGATATACTGAGGGAGATGTAGAAACATGGTGGGAGGAAGGGGCAGTGGCAGATCAAAGGAGTACTGGAGTAGGGAGCAAAAGAAAAACTTTGTCTGCATGCTTCCTGTCTGGCCTTGCATAAGGAGATGCCAAGTTTAAATCTGAGAACTTTCACCTCATTCAAACCTGTATGTAGGGCAGCCACTATAAAATGTACTATGGATGCCACAACAACAGGCAGTAGTGCGTGACTGAGTAGTACATTTTGAATGATCATGACTAGGCTGGGTACATAAGAGGGTAAGTGGGCTATGGAGTGACAATGTGTGGCAGGGTGGCCTAGACATCATTTCTGACGTTGACTGAGGAGGGGTTGATATAATCTGACAGGGCAGGCCTCTCTGCCAATATGAACATCATGGGGAGGTTACGTCTTTGGAAAGAAATTTTAGCAATATTAGCGGAGGACTTAAGGAGGCTTCTAAGGAATAGTTTAGCACTGTATTGATAATGCATTATAATCAATGAGGCAGGTGAGCAAGTTGTTTCCACAATTTGACCAGTCCTTGATGTAGACAGGGTAATCTGTCAGGGGCAGATTACCCTGTCAGCCATGGTGTGAATCCTGCATCATCCATAGGCTAAGGGTTAATAAGACTAGAATAAAACTATACAAATTTAGCTAGCACGTGCTTTGTTAAGCCTACACTGATGGTGCCAGACTTTTCTGTGTAGCACTTATTCCGGTGACTACTAGCAACCATCTACCCTTATATGCAAGATTTTGGCTGTGTACAACTGGCCCATCCCATTTGCTCATTAGAGCGAATCATGACATGTATACATGTGCCTGAACTGTATTCATGCTGACAATTGTAGAAAAGGTATGAATGAGAATGGATATCTTCACAATACAAGAGATGTATTTGACCGGTTTCAATTCTATCTTCGTTAGAAATACATGTATTTCTGACAAAAATAGAATTGAAACTGGTCAAATACATCTCTTATATTGTGAAGATATCCATTCTCATTCATATCTTTTCTACAATACATGTGCCTGTCATGAAGGGTAAGCTTTCCATGACGGCTATAGCCATACTTGTTAGTAAGGTTAATAAATCTAATCCTTTTACTCCAAATTTATACACTGTAAGAAAAATGCATTCCAAGTACCAGAAATAATCAAGACCTGTGATTGCCCCTCACATCTTGTGTGTCTCCAATAAAACAGTCAATTACCAGCCTGAGTTGACGCAAGTTAATGGGTAGCTAGTAGGATTACCATTACCATTATTATCATTATAAGGATTATTATCATCCTAAAACAGACAGGTGCTTTCCATGACAAACAGGACCATGCCTTTGGTGAGGTGTGGAGTTGGCTGCCCTAGGGAAATATTAGAAGCACAGGAAACATATAAACTCCCTTATCTACAATTCTGACTTCAGTATATATGACTTTTTCAGGGAATGAGGCTAAAAAGTGACCTTAAGATTTTTTTATGGGGCTGGAACTTCTCAAGCTCTGTAGTCAGGGCAAAAATACAAACAAACAATTGTTTAGAATACATAATATAGAGCAGGATTGATCCACATCCAGTCATGTCATGGCATGTACATACATGCCATCCACTGAGGAATTCATATTATGAATAATGCTACCTTTATTGTTACTATTACAGTCCAAACAATCTCACTATATACCGATTTTAGATTTGAAAATAGTCCCGCCTTATTTTGTACGTAGAATCTGATTCCTTGTGCAGAAGGAATCAGAAAACAATGGGATGTTTTTAACCCTACTTTTTGTTGTGTATGAACATATAGTGTTTACAATATGATAGCATCTGGCAAGCTTCCTCCAGCCACATCTGCTATGCCATTCCCATACCCTTTTTCCCCATGTAGGCTCTTTTCTTCCTGAACCATTCACATAATTGTATTTCCTGCCTATTTTTGGTTGTGAAACGAATATGTGGGATCATACATTCACCTTCTGGTACCTTTTTGTCTGTTCACTATCTGTACATCCTAACATCAAGATCATTATATCTTACATGGTAAGTGTGTGATGATTGGAATTCTTCCTCGGCTGTGCTGCCCAGCTTTGGATGGTCATGTGTGACTGATCTGAGCATTCAGACTTCATCTGTAGTTGGGGATGAGTTAGTGATGTGTAGTACCACATGACTAGAAAAACTAATACTCATCTGATGCAACAGCTTATTTCTTGAACAGAGGATAACTAATAAAGAACGTAAATGTAAGAGTGAAAACACCAAATTAATTTGCCTGAAAATTGTGTTTCCTATTTCCTTTAGGATATATATAAAGAATGTTATCTCAGCAGTAACTAAGGGACATGACTGAAAAAGGGAAAGGGGGGGCATGCATGATCTCACGAAGCTAGGCAGCACAGCCCAGGAAGAATTACAATTATTGCAAACTTATCATGTAAATTACGATAATCTTGCAATTCTCCTACAGCTGTCTGCCCACTAGTGTGACATCATGCATGACTATTTGTAGCCACAT